CCATCCTTGCCGTTATTCGACCACACACAGAGCTGTGGTTCCCGCAAAATATTGGCCGTGGAAGCTTCTACCGCTGCATTGGCAAGCAACGGTGTTCGACATCAGGTACGTTCGTGTATGTTGGCGTGTTCTTTGGCGATGTGGCCTCGTAGCGCAGCACAGTCGCACTGCCCGCGGAAATGTGATCGGACAAAAACAAGCAAACTGTACAAGAGTCTGGCAGACGCCCGCTCACAGAATGTACAACGGCCCACGGGAGAGCGACGATGGCCAGAAGGAGTTGACCGTCGAAACCCACCCAAACACAAGGCGGAAGCCGAGTCTGGGAAAACGTTTTTGTTAAGAAGCAAGGCGTTTGATGTGTTTTGAGAACCTTTGCTGCGAAGAAAACGTTTTCATCTCGCACTGGTTTTCCCTTCTTTTGTTTTGATCACGTTTAAACCTTCTGAAACGATTTCGTGTGGCTGACTTCTGGTTGTGTGCGGAGAAAACTTTTTTCGTCTTGCATGTGGTTTGCTCTTTCGTGGAGAAGCATTTGCTTGTATTTAAATTGTTTTCATCTTTTAAATCCCCCATAGCGATTTCATGTGTGGCTTCTAGTCGTATGCGGAGAAAACGTTTTCGTCTTGCGTTTGGTTTCTCTCTTGTGTGGTTTTTGGCCAGTCCATGAGTTGTTGCGCTGGAAATTATTGATTTACATTTGTAAGGTGGATATTCGAGTGCAGTGGCCGTGGAATGAAGGAAAAGTTACCGCGCAATTTGAAGCCGGCTGCAGGTGCCACGTTGCTTCGCAACGTCATACCTCTGGTCATATTTTTTCTGCGGTCCCCTAGAATGACCGCTCTCCAGTGCGCGCTAGTTCCACTTGCAGGTGAAATGTTTTTCAGTGGCTGGCTGCTGCACTGGCAACGCGTGCGTTTGCGATGTGTCTGTGCCTCAGATTTGCTTCAACAATTTAGTTTGTGCTGTTTCGAAACAAGGTTTTGCAGGGAAATTTGTCATCGCTTCGCAGGCTATGAGGTCGAATGAGGTTGCGCATGGATTGTACTTTTCTTTTTGCAATGATTTGTGACAATGCTGTGATGATCATGTTTGATGGAAGAGATCTGACAGGCAGCAAATTGTCATGATTGCATGGTTCAAACAGTTTTGGTGACAGGAGCCACATTTTGTGCGTGACTCTGCACTTTGGCTTTGAGTTGTCTGAAGAGGCCCGCTTGAAGGTAAGCGCCGCACCTGAACTCTTCCGTCGAGCGCAGCAGGATGTCGCATCCTGAACTTCGTATTTTGCCACAGGAGGGGTGAGGTTCAACAGGTAGCCATATGCATGGTCCTGCTGGCTGCAAAACATATTTGTGTGGTGTTATAAACGCTGCGAACAACTTTACCCTAAAGTATAAACCGTTGTAGGATTTTCCGTCGTTATAGCAAACTCATTATCTTGTAGCCCTATTAATACATAGTGTTGAGACACTGCCAGCAGTAAGATACATAAGAGACATCACATGTGCTTCGGCCAGCCTTGGGCCGACTCTTTTCAGCACACTTTGGGAGAAGCTGCGAAAAGAGGCTGCGCTCGTCCTGTTGAGTTGCTCCCGGCAAAACGTCGAGTGCCCTACAGACCTTCAGTGTCGAATTCTTGTATACATGTATATACACATACACATGGACGAAAAATTGAGGTTTAGGGAGACACAGACATACACGCAAGTTCAGGTTTAACGCAACATGAATGAGCAATCGAGAGAGTCGTTTTCTTCACTTTACAGGGCCTCGCCTTATTCCCCACGGGTGGTTCCGCCTCTAGTTTTTTGTCGCCACCTTGCGAAAAGGTTGCATTTGGGAACAGTTTCGTGGCGCCTGACATGTCCTGAACCGTTTCTTAAGTCGTTAGCTTGGAAGAGAAGACAAGGCTCCTTTGGTAATCGTTTGGTCGCTGCCGACATGTTTTGAGTCGCTAAGTTGCAAAAAGATTCGTTGGGGACAATTTCCACGATACCTTGTTCTTTCAATCGGCTCAATGCCCCGTAGATTTGTGTTTCGATTCGCATCTGTGTGACATCCAGCACGTTGCAAGACGCAACATATTGAAACATGAAGCATTGCATCGCAGAATGAGGTTTTGGATTTTTGCTTTTTTTTCCTTGCTCGTGTTTGATCGTGTTGCTTGCCATGTTGGTTTCTGCCGGGGCACGTAATGCACGTAGATGCAGCTAGTTCCATTCCAACAACCACCCCAAACCCTTTAACAACCGCATATCCGGATGGTTCATGCTGATTCTGCCGTGCTGCTCCAAATCATGCGTTCAGACGCCACTATTGGAAACTACCTATGTGACATGCCAATGGAAACAGCTTCTCCATTTTTCAGGATATGCCACATGATTAGTTTCTCATACTGAGGCTTTCTCTTCGCCTTTATGCCACTCGAGTCGCAGTTCATCTCACCGTTTCGATTTGGGGTGCATCAGCCAGACTCTTCTTTTCTCCTGGTAGCTTGCCTGGGCTTTCGAGCAACTGCTTTGCTTTGCTTGCAACTAGCTACAGCTTTTTTAAAAGGGGCAAACCCAGACCGAAGCCTTAATGAAAGGTTACACAAGCTTGAAACCCAAAAACCCGTGTAATCTCCGAGACTGAGTGTACTTTTTACGATTTACAATATTTTCCCACACGTTTAGACACATTTTTTGGAGCGGGTCAGGAAAAAGTTTGCGTTGGACGCACACGACTACAGGTTCTGCTAAAGGACTAAGGATAGATACCCGACGAACACGTGTGTGCAGTAGTGTGTGGCTGCGACGTGTTGAGGAAGTAGTTGATGACTCCACTCTCATTTTATCTCTTGAGAGCTGCGTTTGTGGCGGAGCGGAGTGTGTTGAGCCAAAAAGTTGAGCTTGTGGCGGAGCGGAGGGTGTTGACCCACAAATTGCGTTTGTGGCGGAGTGCAGTGTGTTGAGCCACAAAGTTGCGCTTGTGGCAGAGCGGAGTGTGTTGAGCCATGCAAAAGAAGAAGGTCCGACATCACGAAAGCACGGTAAATACTGAGTAGATCGGCTCTTGTGGAGATGTTGTTCGGGGTCTCCGTGCAACAATGCCGGCATCATCCCTCCCCCGCCCCCCCCCCGCCCCAATAACAAGTACTCCAAAATCCAGTAGACAACAAGCAGTCTCGGCGTCCTAGGGGCACCGTCACCTGAAACCTACACGGAGTAAACCGACCCCGAAGCCTTCAAAAGAAATGAAAGGTAAGCTTGAATGAACTTTGAAGCCCTAAAGGAACGAAACCCAGGCCAAAGCATTAGAAGGAGTATAAACGGAGTACAATTAGGCCGAAGCCCCAGTAGTCGTGTTCCCAGAACCCTCATGAAAGAGAGCCGAAACCCTAAAACGAGTAAACCCAAACCGAAACCAAAAAGAGAAAGACAAGAGTCCCAGACCGAAACCCTAATGAAAGGTTACACACGCCGAAACCTTAAAACCTAAACGGAGTAAACCAACCCGAAGCTTTTGAAAGAAATGAAAGGCAAACTTGAATGAAGGCCGAAACCCTAAACGGACGAAACCCAGGCCGAAGCCTTACATGAAGTAAACCCAGCCCTCAAAGGGGTACGCCTTGGCCGAAGCCCTAACGGGAGCCCAGACCGAAACCCTAATGAAAAAAGGCCCAAACTCTAGAAGCCAGCCGTGGACGGCTAACAAAAAGGGGCTTTCGCTCGAGATTATTGTCGCGCTGGATGTAAAAAGATACACGCGACACAGAAAAACAGACACAAGTGACACGGAAAAAAAAAACACAAAAGTGCCACAGAAAAAATGACACAAGTGAAGCATACAACAAGACACAAGTGATGGGGCACCCCCATGCATCGAAGATGTGTGGCTTCTTGCTTTTGATGTGTCGGTCGCAGCAGATTGGGCAGTTTAAAGAAGGCGGCGGGGGCAGCCCTTCCACCATCTGCATACCTGGCCGTTGAACTCAGCGTTGAACCCCGGTTTAGCACCGGCTTGAACCCAACCCAAGTCAAACCCAGGTTCCAAAGGTTCAAACCTGGGTTAAACCCGGGGGAAAGGGGACCAGCCTCGTTCTGAGCAGACCAGTTCGGGGTTTGAGAGGGGCTGCACTTTGCTCCGGCCGACGAGGACTCCGATGTGCCATTCGCCCAACCACTGGAGGACTTCGATCCGTCGGCACCATTATGGGCCTGTCTATCCGCAAATCGTAAACGTTTTCCGCAACTGAAAGTCGTGCTCCTGCGGGCACACGTGGGTGGAACCGCCAGACCAACATCCAAGGAGTCTGATGTTTTGGTCTTGCAAGCTTTTGCATGTGGGCTTCATAATGTCACGCCAGAGGTCATCCTGCAGCCATTGTAGTTTATGGTCTTTGTGGTTTTGGCCGTCCTGGTCGTTTTGCTCTTTGCGTTGGCCGTAGGCGATGTCGACGTCCTCGTACTTCGGCCTTCTGGTCGCATCGGTCGTAGTCGCAGTCGCGGGTTTCGTGGTCGTCGTGGTTCTGCTGGGTTTTCTTCGACGAGAACTTCAAACAGCGCTGTTGGCAAACAAACCGTTCTTATTTCTACATTTGTCGTGCCGTGGCAATGACAAGCCACAGGCTGCAATGACCTCGCAAGGCAGTGAGTGGACTAGATGGAGCTCGCTTTTTTGCAGCGGCGAATGCTTCGATTTTCATGCAGTCGAGCATGTTGAATAAAGAGAACTATGCCACGATGTGGCGTTGTTTCATCAGTTGTGTTTCAGTCTAGGCCGCCGGTGCTCCAAGAATTTGATATGGGAGCCGGACATGAAGAAAAGAACGGTCCAAATTTGACGGGGGAGAACACGCTGGATGTGCATGATGGGTTTGTTTGCATGTTTCCGTTTATACGAAGCGGTAGCCGGCGAGTTTTTTCCGTGGCATTACACGCCAGGCTCTGAGTCAGGCAGGGGCGCCGAGAAGATGCCCATACACACAGCCCCGAGGCTGACCGGCAGTTGCCATCATGGGCTGTGGACCATCCTCAGAGGCCACGTCTCTGAGGATAGTATTTCCAATCTAGTAACTAGTAGTGCCGTTTGCTTCCATTGTTGCTGTCATTGACCAAACAGAAGCCAAGCAGCGTTGGTGCTTGCAGGCCAATGAGCAGTTCGTGCGCTTGGTCTTCACGACAGAGCCCTTGGTGGAATGCATGTGTTGCAGGATTCTTAGGTTGGCCGATGGAGCGGTCGAAGCAGGAAGTGAGAAGGCGTTCCCGTTTTGTGTCTCCGAGCGCCCAGGCCCAGGGTTGAAGCAGGTGAACGGCATGATTCCGGGCTGGTTGCCCCAGGAAAACTACTCCAGGACCTGAAGCCGAGAATCGATTCGAGACTTTTTGGTGCGATTGCCGGGCCGGGTGCGACATCCATGAATCGAAAAGATGGACCGCATGACATGGAGTATGCAGTTGCTTCGTTGCTGTAGTATCGTGTTCGAAGAGGCCGCAAGTACTGTCCAAGCTCAGGGCCCAGCAGAGCCGCAGTCCCCTTGTTGAGCCTTGTTGGATTGTGAGCAGCGGCCACTGCCATCTGCCGCTTCCCGAAGGATCTTGGAGATCTGCGCTCCATACCACCAGTGCATCCCCTGCCAGGCCTGGGGTGCAGCAGGGACTTGGAAAGCTTTGCATGGCTGCCACGTTGAGGGCATGTGGGTGGCACGCCTCTTGCGCTGCTAAGATGGACTGCTGTGGTACACCATTGTGCGAGAACCCCTTCGCGCAGGCTCGGCACAACTTTGGAGAGGTTTGAAGGGAAGTCTAGCTGGACGAGGGGTCCGCACAGAACCCAGGAAAATGCTCCGCTGCAGCAGCTGAAGAAGGCTCTGGCTTTGTGAGTGGGGGAAGCCGAGATACACGTCCAGTGCCGTACCGTCGTGGCATCTCTGACTTCAGGAGCTGCCCAGCTATAACTTCAGCTTCTCTGCAGATGCTCGGCTTCTTGTCAGACTGCCGTTCGAACTGCTGTTGGTCATCAGAATCTTCCAAAGGAGTGGATCGGCTTCGGAAGGAATGCCAACTGGCAACACGTTCTGGAAATCCGGCCGGGAATGGCGGTGGGACAAGTTGTCGGGATCGAGGCAGGGGCAAAGCAGTTGTGTGGTTCTCCCATCCCTAAATGCACAACGTTGCTCCGAGGCGCCGGCCCAGGGCAACATGTGAGATTGAGTGAGACTGTCGTGTCGGGTGCTAGCTTTAGGCAGTTCTGCAGGGATTCTCGTGACACGGCGAGCATTCAGGGACACTTTGAAAAATTCAGCTGAGCATGGGCTTTCCGGTGTCAGTGGGTGCAATCCCTGTGACGAGCTCAGAGCGGTGAGTGCTCGGCCACCCCATCTCACCCGTGGCTAATTCACGAACGGCTTGAAATTTGCGAGAAGCTGACTCCCCAGCGCTACTTCAGCCCGTGGAAGGCCTCCGCAAGCCTTTGAAGCAAGAGGACGATGTGTCATGCCTTGCGATACCGGATTCTGCAGCGTTGTAGCTCGCCGCTGAGACACGGACGGCAAAGCTGTCTCTCAAACCGAACTCGCGGGGTGGGACGCTGGTCCACTGTGTTACACACTGGACCTTCTTGCCGAGAGATGAGAAAAAGAGCTTGAAGTTGCTTCAAGTTTTCAGCTGCAGCTGAAGTTCTTGATTTCCCCTGGCACGGCAGGATGATGCATATGTCAGTCTCGTTGGCTATGAGTTCAGTAGAGCACAAGAGCACAAGGAAGGTCCCAGTTTCCCAGTGGTCGACTCGAAGTCCTCAGAAGCCGAAACAAGTCCCAACTCCCCGAAAGCACCAGCAGACTAGCACTCAGCTCCTGGCGCGTCCACCACAAGCTTCCAAGAGAGTGCTATCTTCAAAGGCATAGCGCGGTGTCCCCATGTGAAGCAGTCTCCGAGCGGCCTCCGATCGGCCACTGCGGCCGCCGAGCGCGCAAGCGGCTCGCGACGCCTGGGGCTCATGACCATCGAGCTGACCCCAAAGCGCGACCAGCAGGACCGTTTGAGTCTCCGGAAACACCCCACAACAGATCCCCTCTGACCACCGAAGCCTCGCCTTTACCAGGTGGGGTCCACAGATCGACCCGTGGAGAGCTGGTGGAGGCTCCGGCAGGTGGAGCGCTGCGACCGAAGCTGCACACAGCTCAAGCGATGGCTACTGCGGGTCCTCGGCATCGTGGCCGCGGAGTTCTGGCAGCACCGGCAGGTGTTTCCGTTGGCGCTGGCGCAGATGATGCTGGTTGCGGACCAGCCGCTGCTGCCCACCAATATGTCTGCCGTGGCCAAGGAGTTCGGTTTCGATGCAGCCGAGAGGGACGAGAAGCTCGGAGGAGTTGTCAGCGTAGTATTCTTCACCTTTGGGGCCCTCTTTTCGCTGCTGGTCGGGCGTCTCGCAGACCGCATGAGCCGGAGGACCCTGGTTTGCCTGTGCATGATGCTAGGCTCCAGCGGTAGCTTTGCGAACTCGCAGGTCCAGAGCTTTCTGGCCTTGCTCTGCTGCCGGGGTGCCGTGGGTGCCGCCACAGGCGGTCTGATCCCTGCCAGCTTCGCTTTGATCGGGGACATGTACTCGGCCGAAGAGCGGCCGCACGCCATTGGCATCATGTCCATCATCTCGGGCCTGGGCCTTTCCGTCGGACAAGCGCTCGCTGGCTTTCTGGGCACCGCTTTGGGCTGGCGGGCGCCCTTCGCGCTGGTGGGACTTCTTGGCTGGGCCGTCACGGCCCTCCTCACCTTCACCTTTGGGATCCGGCCCTTGCAATCTGCAACGCCGCCAGTGCCAGGGCCACAGCCGTCCGCACGGCTCGCTTCGACAAGCGACTCGTCTTCTGCGGCGTCCGTCCGGCCTTCCTCGCGAGCCGACCTCTTGAAGCCAACGGTGCTCTGTATCTGCCTGCAAGGTATCACGGGCTGCGTGCCCTGGGCCGTTATTGGCACTTTCATGGCAGACTATCTGGCGACAAACGTCCACATGGGCGTCCCGAGTGCGACGGCCGTGCTTTTCAGCTTTGGGGTGGGCTGCACCACAGGCACAATCACTGGTGGGAAGCTAGGCCAGTACCTCTACAAGAAGGACAAGCGGCTGCAGGGCTGGCTCATGGGGGTGACAGTTTGGGGCGGAATGCTCCCCATGTTCTGTCTCTTTGCCACCCGGCTGTCTCGCTTGCTGCCTTTTGCAAGACGTCTTAGAGATCCCAGAACTCGACATCTCAGGCTCTGGGTGAGGCCCACCCGATCATTTTCCACCTCCTGGCTCTGTCTGGTGGCTTCCTGTCCTCCATCCCTCCCGTGCCCCTTGTCTGGAGGAATAGGTTCTGTGACACAAGGGTCACCAGATGAGCATCCACGGTGCTTGTTTTTGAATCTTACATCTCTGTCCTTGGGATCTCAGGAACGCCAAGGCGGTGCTGCTGAATGTAGTGGCAACCCACTCTCGGGGCACCGTCTTCGGAGCTCCCCTGTTGCGAAAGCTCTGCTTCCTTTTGTCTGTTCTGCTCCGATGACTTGACTAGGGACTTACCGGGCCAGATTCTGACCAGCCTTGCATGACTCGTCTCAGGTTTACACCATTATGGACGACCTCGGCAAGGTACCTGTTGCTTTCGCGGATAGCGGTAAGACAGAGACTCCTCGGAAGGTGTAAGGGTGTTGCTGGCGAAGATAGTGGTGGTGCCATGGTACTCGTCGTAGCTCCGAGGGATAACCCTACACCCTAAGCCCTAAGCCCTAAGCCAGCTGCCTCAGGGACTCGGGCCTGCTCTGGTTTCCAGCTTCGTGCGGGGCATGGGGCGCCAGGACTGGGCTCATGTTGCAATCCAGGAACCAGAGTAAGAACAAAAAGAGAAACAAGGTGGTGGTGGTGGTGGTGGTGGTGGTGGTAGTAGTAGTAGTAGTAGTAGCAGCAGCAGCAGCAGCAGCAGTAGTAGCAGCAGCAGTAGCAGTAGCAGGAGTAGTAGCAGCAGCAGGAGTAGTAGTAAGATTAAAACTAGTGTTCATAAAAATAAGGATAAGTATAATAACAACAACAACCAATAGCAGTCGTAATAATCATACAAAAATAGCAGACATGCAGAATATACACATTCCGAATACGCGCAATTGTTGTGAGTACTATTCGTAGTCTAGCAGCAGCAGCAGCAGCAGCAGCAGCAGCAGGAGCAGCAGCAGCAGCAGCAGCAGGAGGAGGAGGAGGAGGAGGAGCAGCAGGAGGA